AGGTATATCAGGGAAATTGTGGGGTAAAACAGGACCCCTGTGGTTGTTAAACAAAACGTCCTAACCCAACATCCAACCTAACCTAACACCGTGGTATATATTCACTAGCCTCGTTGTAGTATGTGCGTCTTCTCTTTTCTTTTATATATAGCACCCTTGAGAAGCATTTGCATACATATTGCCATAGAAGAACTTTGTATTGTTCCACCATTTCATGTAGGTTTTATTACCCAACTCTGCCACTACCTTATACTACATATTGCCCGAAATCGTGTATATAGTTAAATGCAGGGGGCTGTACTCCCTGCAACCCCTGTGGGTGACTGATGCCCCAACTCCCACCCTGGACAACAAAGAATCCATCATGTGTGTACTGCAGAAGAGACCCCCTAATTGCTTGCTCGTTGTTGTTATCAAGGGGGGGGGGCTTAGAGATGAAGACTGGGGCCAATGTAAGGGACCACCCCATAGACCTCAGCCCTTGCCCTAACTAATTTGGCATGGTCTTTTCTTCTCCTCTTTTACTTTCCTTCTCTTCTTCACCCTTTCTTCTGTCCTCTTGCTAAGGTGTGAGAGCTGTGCTGAAAGGATCAAAGGCTTGGTTAATTGCCTAGCCTTTACCCCTCATGGGGACTTGAAGGGTAGACCATTTCTTCTCCCCATTTATATCAGGCTCACCAGGGCCATTGAAGATTTTTTTTATCTTTTTCAGGGGCATTAAGTTTGTCCCTCCATCAACTAGCCTGTCTAAATTTAATTTCATTGGATTTCCAACTCTGTCTCTCCACTGACCACTGATACTAAAACCCCCTTCTCGTTGTTTGCTGTTGACTCTGTCCATTCCGAATCATCCACCCAGCTCATTACTCAACCTTCAGAATACACCTCTTCCTCTCTCCCAACATCCTCTACTCCATCTCCTTCTTCATTGTCTACCCTCACCCTCCTTATTAGTATTTTTGTTTATTGTCCTCCCAACAGTACTACCTCTCTCCATGCCACCCCATCTTCCTCCTGCCCTCGTCCTACGGCTTCCACCTCTGCAAACCTTTTTAGTACCCATTTTGGCCCAGCCAAGTGGGATGGATTTTTTGTGATCCCAAGACAGCCCCACACATTCTGATCATTCATGCCTTGCCACAGTTACATCTGAGTCCGAAGCTCGTGCACTATCTACCTTCACTGACCTCACAGGCAAACCTATTCATTCCTCCTGTAATACTTGTGCCAGAACTATTTCTGTCTCCTCGACTGATTGTCCTGTCTATGACAAGGACTGGTCAGGAAAATGACTTCCTCATTCCTTATTGACTATGATGCGGTGGCAGTCCAGTGCTACACTATTCCTCCCAGAGGCCAACATAAGTCCTACACCAGTATTGCCAAGATTAGCTTCCGTAGACATGACCTCCCACATGAAATTTACATTTGTGGAATCTCATGCTCTGTCTGACCATGTTGACCTCTTCCCTGTCTCTGTCAGAAATGGCATTTTGGCCCCCACCCACACACTGTTGCTCCACATTCCTCTATGTACCTAACCTGGTCATTACCATTCAAATTGCTCAGTTCAGTCATGTGTACCAATTGTGGTGGCTCCCATAATGAGCTGCCCAGCCTACAAGCTTGAATCTGAGGTAGCAGTTCTCAGATTCAAACTAGGCCTCACTCTAAGTGAGGCCAGACAAAGAGCATGCCAACAAGGTTATTCTCTTTCTACCTATTTGAAAACTGTGCTCCGCTTCACTATGCCTCCTCCTTCTCACTCTATCTGTCGCACCAGATAATCTAAACATTCCACCCCATCTTCTACCACATCCTCTCCTTGATCCACCTCTCCCTCTGCTCTTCAGACATCTATTCCTTCACCATCTTCCCCTGTTCCCATATCTCATTCTTTGGAGTCTTCTCCTACTTCTACAACTATCATTTGATGTATCCTTTGATTGTTTCATAATAGCTCTTGCAGTTTTCCTCATACAGTGTTACTCTCCCTTCATCAGACATATACTCTCCATTTGATCTGATCGCTCTGTACCTTTAACCTTTTTACAAATCCTCATTGTATTTCATTTGCTTCCCCTCTATACCCTTTTCACTTTCATTCTACCCTACAGTGTTCTACATCCTTTAACATCAAACATCTTATCCTAATTGTGAACTCATTTCTACCCTTCTTGCCACAATACTTTACCATAGTGCTGTATGACCTTTGATGTCTAGCACATTTATTTCGTCTAACCATTAACCATTAACCCTCACCTTCTATTGGGGCCAAGACTGTCACTATTGGGGGGGTTTCCGTAGTATACTTTCTATGTATTTTGGTAGTAGAGGGTGAGAGGAATCCATAGATACCAGTATCGTCGTGATTGGTTATGCAAAGGTATTTTGAATATATCCCATAGACTTTTTAACACATTGGATCCTTCTGCTTCACGGCAATCACATGGCCCAAAATACGGGCATTAGGCTTACGTGAGTAGCTGCTCTGATGGAT